ATGCACTTCACATTCATAAATGGAATGTGTTTATCCATCTATAAAGGTTTTTTATTGTTATCACATTGTAGGCCATATAACATCGTTAAATGAATGAAGACGAAGAAATCATAGATACTCATATTGATAATTTACAGACCTATCGTACTCCTGATAAATTCTCTAACAAATTTTCGAAATTAATTTTTCCTTTTTCTGTTTTGAATTTCAATATTCGATCTATGAGTAAAAATTTCATTTAATAATGTTCTTGATATAATTGGAAACTTCAAAATTATTGGTGTTACCGAAATTTGGGACATAAAAAAAACCGAATCTATGTAATATTGATTCGTATTTATTTGAGTATGAATGTAGAGAAACTGGTAGGAGTGGTGGGGTAGCTGCCTACATACATTCATCGGTAACTTATAAAATGCTTAATTATTCTGTTATTCATTCTGAATCTATTTGGATGGAGGTATTTGATGGTACTAAAACTTACATTATTGGGATTATCTATAGAAAGGTTGACTCAGATATCACTGAATTCCATAACAGTTTGTTAGATCTACTAAATAGAATTAATTGTGACAAGTATTCATTCTGAATCTATTTGGATGGAGGCATTTGATGGTACTAAAACTTACATTGTTGGGATTATCTATAGAAAGGTTGACTCAGATATCACTGAATTCCATAACAGTTTGTTAGATCTACTAAATAGAATTAAATGTGACAAATTATTATGGGGGACTTTAATTTAGATGTTTCGAATCAAACCACCAATACTGAACAGTATTTAACAGATCTGTTGTTTAAATATGCGTCTACTGAACACCACACCGACTAGGATTACAAAAGGTTCTTCAACTTTAATTGATCATATATATTCAAATATTTGTAATTCTTATATACGCACTGGTACCCTAGCATGTGATGTTTCAGATCATTTTCCTGTATATTCCATTTTTGAGAATTTTTATACTACTACATAAGAAGACAACATTTATGTCCATGACGATTCTAAATTTGATCGAAACACTTTCCTTGATGATTTATCAAATGTTTTTTTTCTCTTTTGTGGGAGTTACACCCACTTCTATTTCATTTCTCTTTTCTTAGTTTAATAACAATTTTTTTTTACACATGAAATAATGACATAACGGTAATTATAAAGGCCATTGAATAATAATAATAATAATAATAATAATAATAGTAATAATAGTAATAATAATAATAGTAATAATGATAATGATAATAAACACTTTCTTGGAATTAACATCCATTAAAGGTTAGTCCCTTTAAAGCTGCATAGACAGTAATTCGTAGTTTAACATTATTTTCATTATAATATTTTGAATAGATTTGGTTTTTTTTTCAAATAAAACTTGAATATAATTAGAAACTTACTTAAATATTTTTTACTTTTTTCCTTAATTGTTGCTTATTTCAAATCCAAGTATCATCTCTTCATTGTACCATGATATAATTCATAATATATATATATATATATATATATATATATATATATATAC